GGGGGGGGGGAGGAATATCGCTACACTAGTTTCTAAGTGGAGACCCACAAATTGAGACAGCCAAGATTACCAGTCACTTTTGAAAAATATCTTGGCAAACTGCCTTTACAAGTCTGTTTTAAACAACCCTAGATTGAGGCTGGAGTGATTCCCAGCTACTGAGCGGGGCAACAAGCTCAATGCACCACAAAGGTCAGGAAAGGCACACGCTCCACAAGCACTAGGATCAAGTTCTAAAATGTTGTTGTCTTGAGAACTGAAACTATAAAGTGTTCGGATACAAGTTCTTAATTTGTCTTATGGTGGTGCCTAAAGACTCTAGGCCCAGTTGCGTTAAAATGTGTTTTGTATAGCACCTAAGGAGCGGACATTGTAAATAGACACAAAAGGGTGAGTAAAAAGGATACAATATAGAAACAGAAGAAAGAAAAAGAGGGTAAGGGCCAGATTTTTAAATACAAATATTGTTAAACATCTTTCTCTAAATGACTCATCCAAGGTAATAAAAAAAAATCTACAGCACAACAGGCATTTGAAGCCAGTTCTTGGGAGTAATAGTCTAGTGCCATAATCTACCAAAACTCAAGATGGGGATGGGACGGGATGGGATGGGGGGGGTCCTTTACTTCCTCAGAAGTGTTGCCTCTTTAGATAGTGGGGACAGAACAATACCACAGACACATTCTCCAGTTTCAGTAATAGTAATTATATCTGCTCTGTAGAGCGATCTAGACTCAGGAACTGGCAGGTAAGAAGCAATACCATTAACTTATTACATTTGTCTTGGAAAAGTCCAACCTGGGTCTTACCTCATCACATTCAGCATTTGGCTCCAGTTCAGGCCTGGAAATAAAGAGAGGGGTTTGACATGTTATCAGCTTCCACAGAGGAAGCAAAGAAATTATGGATTTTACTCTTGTGGTGCCTCTGTCAGAAGCTTCTAGGCATTTTCAAAGTGCGTGGTAAAAGTGACTAAGATCACAATCTGAAAGTCTGCTTTAGTACATTAATTTTATCTAAGTGCAGTGGGAACAAAGTATTCATTCTGATCAATGGAAGAACTGTTTGCACGTGCTGGAGCCAAGACTCTTGCATTGAAATCTAACTTCACAATCTTCAGGCAGAAAGTGAAAGTACTTCAAGTATGGGCATGTCTACACAGCAGGGCTAAAGCCGAATTAAGATATGCAACTTCAGCTACATCAATTGCGTAGCTTAAATCAAAATAGCTTTTTTCGGCTTTTGGCACGGTCTACACAGCAGGAAGTTGAAGGAAAAACACTCTTCCTTCAACTTCTGCTTACTCTGACCCCTGTAATCCTCATTTTACAAGGAGTAAGGATCTTCAAGCTCAATATTATTTTGATGTTTTGTTGAAATAACTGCTTGTAGTGTAGACACGGTTTACGTTATTTTGAAATAATGTCATTATTCTAAAATAATGCTGCTGTGTAGACATGCCCTATGAGACAGAACCCTACTAAAACAGGCCAGATGGTGGCAGCACAATAAATTGCTGAATTATATGCTAGTGAGTTTATACCCTTTGTGGAAGGTCTTAGCATTACTCAAGACAATAAGAAGGATATGCCATAGACCTGGGACATGGACAGATGGGCCTGCAAGTCTTGAAGACCACAAACTGCACCGCTCTCCAATCTGGTAATGTGGATGGAAAGGAAAATTAGTTCACAGGGATCAGGAAGTTAGTAATAGACATGGGACCTAGCAAACCAAAAATATTCATAGAAAGAGCATAAAGAAACACTTTCTTAGTTAAGCTGGCAATATTTTGCAGCGCACTTGTACATTCAGCAAACAGATCAGCCTTTTTCGGTAGCTCAGTACAGATATCTGAAAGGAAGAACAGAGATTGTACCAGCCTTGCTGTTGGAGAGGCATGCAAGATGGACAGTCTGAGGAAGGGCCACAACTATGCAGCATGAACAATGTAACTACCATCCTCAATCATAGGTGACAATTGACAGTGACAGCACAAGCATTAATTTAGTGACTGGGCATGTGAACAACTTGTACATTTTCCATGGTTTCTGGCTATTTGACAGAGCAACCTCACCTGACATTGTTGGTTGCTTCTTCATCCACAAATACCTCCAGGGAGCTATGGCCTGGAGGGAAAAGGATAAAGCAAGACACTAGCTAGCTTGGTGGTCTTAATCGGATGGATCCTATAAGCAACTATTCCTGTGCAACACAGCCCTTCTCTGGGGACACATTGCATTCCCACACCCAGATTTCCATATGAGCAACAAGCCTGACTTTTTACAGCTACAAGTTGCTACATCAGGCAATGAACTTGAGAAGCACCACGATGGCCCAGAAACTGCTTTAGTACCTCTAAAGGTTCTGCAATATTGTGGAAAGATCACAAGTAATTTCATAGTTAGAAAATTTAATAGTGCAGAATTTCAGTTAGAAAAGAGTTTAAATCTTTGTTAGGGATGAAAGTGTTTTTGGTAACAACAGGACAGATTCAATATTCTGCAGTATTAACAAGTAGGTTAGCACTCTGTGACCCTACCTGAAGTTTCAAGACTGGTGTTTCTCATGTCCATCAACTTATTCATGGCTTTGATTTCAATTAGGTCCCCACAGTGTCTTATGCATAAGTTAGGGTTTGTTTGTTTTTTTAAAGTTACAAGTTTTTAGTATTAGGACGACAATGTGCCATGGCATTTACTTTTGTTTGCCTAAAGCCCACATCCTTCAGCACTTAACTGAATCAGCTGGAAGCCACTTTATTTCTACAAGCAAGAGAGTTTAAGGAACTTAATATCAGCAGATACTTTCAGAACCCAGAGACTGTGCAGGAAAGGCATGGCCTGGCGTTTCAGCTAGAGACACAAGAGGACTCTTGGACCTTTAAAACAACATAGGGTGAAATTTAAAAATTTCAGTTGTAGGGCTCCTGCACAAGCAGCACTGACTGAGAGGGACTGGGAGCCACACACAAACACCACACTGATGGACAGAGCAGAGAGGCTTTGAACAAAGACTGACTGAATCAACTTTCAGACTTAAATCTTACAGCTCACGTGACTGGAGGCTGAAGAGGACTCCCGAGCTGCTCTCCTCTTAGAGGCAGCCCTGCTGATAGATTTCCGGATCATGCTCTCTCTTTTGCTGACAAGTGAATATTTCTCTGCTAGTGAGGCCCTGCGCGGCTTATGGGACCTTCGCCTCTGGCTTCGGTGTGCAGAGGGCCGGCTTGATTTGGAGCTGGTCGAGGTCCCAGTGCTGTCTTTTATGTCCTGGAAAAGCTCCTTTTCTGTCCCCTGAGCAGAGACAACATTTTCAGCTCCAGGCTCCCCACTTACAGCAACTTTGGGTGTAGATGTATTTGCTCTTCTAAAGTTGGGAGCACCTTGGGCTTCTCCTATCCCCTTTGCCTCAGGGGTGTCAGGTATCAACAATACTGAGGCTGCAGACACAGGCTGCAGTTCAGTAACCTCAGACTTTTTGGGAGCTTGGTCATCTGTGCTCAGGGAGAGGATCTCCAAAGCCTGGTCTATAATTTCAGGCCTATTTCCCTTCAAATAAAAGTCAGCACCACAGCGATCATTGACACTGATTTCTGCCAAGGGAACCCGCCCTTCTGGTTTCTCAGACACTGCCTCCAATGGAGCAGGAAGCTCTGCTTCAACCTTGGAGGGGAATCTTGTTACGCAACAGGGAATAAATGCTTCTTTTTCCACATCACTGCATTTTTCTAGTCCCTCTTTGCTTCGGAGTCTTTGGGAAACTTGCTTAGAGGCTGCTGGCTTGAGGCTGCTTCTCCTTCTTGACAGCCTTAAAACAAAGACATTTTTAAGGCAAATAAGATTTTTTCCTTATAGCCATTTCAGAAGCTAAGACTGACACCACTGACTGTAGACATGATCCTCAGTATTTTTTACATGCAATTATGCTTATTTTCCAGATATAAATATTTTAAATGTGATTAAGGGAATAAACACACTGGACTGTGACTCAGGAGAGCTGGGTTTTATTCTCTGCTCTGCCTACTGGGCAACATTGGAAAAGGCCTTCCTCTGACGCCATCTGTAAAATGGGTATAACGATACTTCTCAATTTAAGTAGCTCTTAAGGTACATCTACCCAGCAACATTATTTTGAAATAACTAGCATTATTCCATAATAACTTAGTCCATGTCTACGCAGCAGGCAGTTATTTCGAAATAATGCTGAAATACTGTCAAGCTGGAGGACTTCATACACCGACTCCTGTAACCCCCACTGTACGAGGAGTGTGGGAAGTCGGAGGAAGAGTACTCTTTTTCAAAATAAATGCGGTATAGACGTTCCCAATTTAGAAATAAGCTATTCTGAAATAAGCTATGCAATCGACGTAGCTCAATTTGCATAGTTTATTTCATGTTAAGCCCTGCTGTATGGACGCACTCAAAGTGCTTTATAAAAGGTAGGAGCCAGATTGTCAATCTATAGTAATACTATCCTCACTAATAAAAAAACCAAAACCCTCTCATTCAATTTAAAACCTCATTGTTTTTTCCTGGATCATTCCCTCATTCTGCACCAGTGATGCTAACATGCAGACAGCATCTTGAGCCCCAGCTGGATATACTATGCAACACAGGGTGGCTTGCTAGAATGGAGCCTATTGACTTTTCTCCTAAGAATTAAACGTAGAGAGCTTGGACAAGGAAGGGGAATATAATAAGATGCAGTAGTATTTGAAGGGGCGATGCTATGTATGGGGGAGAAGTAAGTATAAATAGGAGGAAATTGCTAAAGAATTTTCTGCAGCGTGAGGCCTGTTGGATTAAGAAGTTTTGCCAACATCATGGCTGAAATTAATCACAACTAATTCAAGTACAAAGCAAGCAGTGTTAACAAGAGAACTTCTGAAATGAGATTTTGACTGCACACAGAAGTGTCCTTGTGTAACTTGAAACCAACCCCCCTAACATCTTAAGATTAAGTTTTTTTTCTAAACGGAAAGACTCAGAGTTCTGGGGTAACTTCCCCACATAACCTGAGATTTCCTTACATAGGAGGGAGTGTTTTTGGAATGCCCAAATTATAAACTTTTAGAGAGGCTGAATTTTGAAAAGGTGGGTTCAAAGCACTTTCTAAGAAAGACCTATTTAAGGGGTGTCAAGTCGGGCACCAAGAAAATCAATTCAGTTTATAAAACCTTAGCCTAGATTATTTTAAGCACCAAGGTGTGAATTTCTTTATGACAGTGGTTCCCAACCTTTTTGATACCGGGGACTGGCAAGCCCCGTCACAAACTTCCGGAGGACAGGCAGAATTTTATTTGCATATTAATTATGCAAATGGTGAATAAAACATTACTGATCTGTCAAAAGCCCAGCCACCAGTGCCAGCCCTAACTCCTAGAGCCTTCCACCTGTCCCACTGCCAGCCACTAATCCAAGTCCTAACCCCCCCCCCCCCTCCC